CAATACTATAGAACAGCATTGATATGCTACGTAGTTATACTTTTTTACTCCAATTTATGTAAAAAATTTATTTTTTAAATAATAGGCATTCGTAACCCCGACATAAAAGATCTATTGTGCGCCTAAAGTCCCAACTAAAACAATTTTAGACTATTTATAAATCTCGTTATTGCTGTGGGCTTAATTTTACCTATTTGATATGGGACTAAGATCCTGCTTGCAAGGTAGTCGAGTCTACGTCTTACCACAGCTGGGCAGTTGCATAGGATATGTTCTGATGCTTTCTTCTCCTCATGACAGAGTCAACAGCAATCACTTTCTACCGCACCTATATTCTTCATATGGTAATTGAGTCTACAGTGGCCTGTAAGAAGTTCAGCATAGATTTTAATATCGTTTCTGTTAAGGTTAAAAATAGTGCTAACTTTAATGTGTTCAGGATCCATGAATCTTCTTGACCAAACAGACATGCTGTTTGGGCTCTCCAGTGTTCAAGTAGATTTTGTTTCTCCCGTTCACATAAAAAATGTATTCAGAAGTATTGAGAAGTTGAAAGCATTCCCAGACTAAGTTAGTTATTAGATTAGTAATTCGTTGTTCAGTATTCAATTACTAAATCCATTGTTACTCAAAATTAATATTCAAACTGCAAAAAATCAAATTACGAACATTAATTCAATAAATTTAAAAACTTAATGTTAATTTCATTAATATACTTAACTCTTTTTAAAAAATTAAACGAATTTGATTAAAAGGCTATTGCTTTGATGTGTTCAATTATCACAGAGTTCATTATTGAATGGATGGATTGTTAGGGTATTTGTTGTTGATAATATCAGATAGAAATACCGCGGTAAAGTCGAAACAATAAGACTAGTAGCGCTAAAAGGAACGCACTATCGTAACTGTTCTATATTAAGTTTGTAATTTCTATAATTTTTGAGAAAGAACCTAAAACCAAATTTAATGGTGAATCTCATGATTTTAGAATTATTCACACGTAGGTATATTATATTTTAGAAATATCACAATGAATTGCTAATTGAAGTAATTTGTTAAATTTCATGAACATGCTTTTCTAATTATAATGATAATTAAAGATTCAGATAAGATAAATAGGTTATTAAGGATATACGAGTATTGTATATCATGAATTATTTATATGTGACAGTGAAAACAAAATCATTACAAATGCCATATCTATAATTGTTTAAACGGAGAAACAGTTTATTTATTATTGAAATTGAAAGCACATCGGGAGGGTCTATATTTTATTTGAAATATAAAAATGCGACCACTCACACCAGCTTTGGCTAAAATAGCTAAGGAGGAACTAAATGAAACACCAGAACGTGTAGAACAGGATTTGTTCATATTAAGAGTTTGGATACGCCAGCAAATACATCTGAGAGCCCGTACTTCTGATGAGTTTTTGATTGCATTTCTCAGACGCTGCAATTTTAGTTTGGAAGAAACTAAAAAACGTATAGAACTCTTTTTCCATTTTTACAATTTGATGCCAGAAATTTTTTATAATCGTCTTGTTACAGAACGCCTTCTAAATATGAATAAAACTGGGTTAGTAATCAGTATTTATTCAACCTTTTTTTGTTAACTCTTTTTATCTTTGCTGGGAAATCCAATTTAAATCTTACATATAGCATATATTTCTATCCAGAATATCCGAAATGTGACAATCAATCTGCTTTACTTATAATACGTATTGGACAATTTTCTTGGAAATGGCATACACAGCGAGAACTAGTCAGATTCGTAACAATGGCTATGGAAATTATTGCTCTGGAAAACGATAATGCAAGTGTGGCTGGTGTTACGGAAATAATCGATTTGGATGGTGTGGAAAAGGAATTTTTTTATAGTTTTCATCGTGTAATGGTAAAAAAATGGTTTTCTTGGATAAAAGATTGCCTTCCATTACGCATAAAAGATATTTTTGTTATAAATCCCAGTAAAGAAGTGCTTCGTATGTTTTTATTTCAACAGTTTCTACAGCGTGCATCTAATTATCCGGTAATGCTTATTTTTAATTTACGGAGCATATTGAAAAGAACATTCTTTGTTATTTTCATAGATCATTGTTTTAAAAACAACTGAAGAACTTTATAAACATGTTCCGAGGAAATGCCTTCCAGAAGAATATGGTGGTTATAACGGTCATATTGCAGAATGTGTTGGTTATATGGAAGACTCACTGAGAAGTTACAAAAGCTATTTCGAAGAAGATAGTCTTTATGGTGTCAACGAAAGTTTGCGTAGGGGAGAAGTTCCACTTTACGAAGCTGAATTTGGTCTTGCGGGCACTTTCCGTAAATTTAAAATTGATTAATTATAAATGCTATATCTATAATCGTTTAAACGGAGAAACAGCTTATTTGTTAAATATATATATGTTATATCATATATATATGTTATATCAAATACAGAAAGCTTTTTGTGATTTTTAACGTTTTTAAAACATCAAATATATTTTATTCGTTTAGATTAAAATGAAATAGCCATCTAAATAATAATATTAAAATAATGGTTTTAACTGCAAAAATGTCATACTTAAAGAGATCCTTTAATGATTCATATATTCGAAAATTTTAAAAAAATTAAATATTTGCAAAAATTAAAAAATTAACTATTATTTAAAATTTTTGTGTGAAATCTCTTGTGTGAACTACACCATGCAGACTTATAACTACTATTTTAAAAAAGTTTTCTGAAAATCCTTACTGATGTTCATCGGATCAAACTGAATTTCTTTTCTAATATTATCCTAAGAAATTTAATTATTTTCTAAAGGAAACCTATATCGACTAAATTGACGCATAGGTTATTGTTAAAGTTGCAAGTCAGAGCAGACATAAGAAAATGTTACTAACTACTCAGCACTCACCAGAAAGCCTCAATTCACTATTAGTTCTTCCTTCCTTAATTATCTATATGTTCAATGTGTACGTTAAGGACCACTGATTTTATCAAAATATCTATTTCTCTTTTCTATCTCTCTTTTTACAATTTTTCAATCAGCTGAAGTGTTTTTAACTTCTTTGTGGTATCACAACAGGGTTTCTCTGTGGTATCTGAGCAAGTAGTGTGCCCTTTCTTGTTGAGACAGGTTGTCTCTATTTAATTGTTTATCTATCTATTTGTCTTAGCTAAGAACAAAGATTAAAATAATTGCTCACGCAAACTTATATTATCTTGAGTTTTAGAAATAGAGATTATAAATAACAGCAATATATTCTCTATACCTGAAGTGGGTGTACATGAAATTTACCAAAATAATACCAAAAATAATAGTCATTCTTGTTGTTTTAACCTTCTAACTGAATTTGAGACATTATATTTTGAAGTTTTTTTTTACAATGAATTGAAATGCCAAAGATAATAATAATAATAGATAATTAATAGATAATAATAGATCATTTTTACATTTTTAAACTTTTCAGAATTGTATGCAATATGTGATGGTTTGGAATTTTGGGATGTCAGAGGTCCCGTATCATGATAATATTAAATGTATATTATTAATTTCAATAGTCTGTAATAAAAATGTACTGAATTCAAATGACTTATCATACTACCTCCTCTTTGTAAAGATAAATATAAAACTAATGTTAATATTGGATACTGGATCAGCACTAGAAGTAAATATTAATACTATATCCACAGCAATAATTCTTAATATCAATGTAGTTTTAGATTATGTTGCGATAGAATTGTTTTGATGTTACGTATTTATAATACCAATAAAAATATGTTTAAATATAATTAAATATCCAATCTGTATTTGCCAAATCCTTTAGCAAACTTTTTTTTAATTTTTATTATCAACTAATTATAATTTAAGTGCCCAAACCAAAACCAGTAATAAAAATATACTTTTTGGCAGGGCGAAGGATCTAGTAGTCCAGTTCTTTATTCCTAGTGAACTTTAAAATTAATTTTAGTGCTTAGTCCCAAATAAGTAAATAAATAATATTGTATTTTGAAGGAATGCATTCCAAGATTTTTGTACAGTGGGTTCACAATAGTATATCACGTATTTCATGTATATCAAATATGAAGACTATACCAGCAACAGTTGCATTATCATCCTCCATGGCAAGAACTTCCAACAACATAAGAAATATTTTAAAAATCTCATTTAAATTCATGAATTTCGGGTCTTGCTTGACAAGCGGTATAATAATTATTCTCGGTCCAATAGGGTTCACAATAGTGAGCACTGTTATTAAAATTGAACTGTTAATTGAAGAATATAAATTCTCAATACAGCATTATTTTTATATATTTTTATTTTGGTATTGTTCTCGGTATATGTAAATATATTTTATTTTAAAATTTTTATAGTGCATTAATTTTTCGAGACTTCCATCCATAAAATATTCATTGTTCTATCTGAAATTGTATATACAATTTACATGCTATCTTAGATACGTTTTCGATTGTTTTATTTATTGATATAATTATATTATTTTACTATATAAAAAAAATAAATATGTCAATTAGTTATTAATTTATTAATCACTTTGAGCATATTTGTTGATAAAATTATAGATAATCCCTTATCGCTAATTAATTCACGCCTGGCAATATATTTACAAAAAAAAAAAGTTAAAATACTATTTTCCACACATTTTCCCAATATTTTGATAAGATACAAGAGCATTTCCAGTAAATTAGCATAGCAAGGTCTGGATGTTAGTACAATCAGTATTTAGTTGATATTAGTCATTAAAGTAGAAATGTCGAACACAATACGTGTACTTACACCAGCTCTGCAAGAACTTGCTTTAGAAAATTGTAATGAAAATCCAGACACCGTGGAATGCCACATTAGTGCACTGCAATCATGGATTAAGCAGTCCCCTCACCTTAAAGCACGTATGGATAAAAAATTGCTATTAGCTTTCTTGCGGCGTTGCCAATTTAGTATGGAGGAAACAAAGAAACGTATTGACGCTTTTTATACAATGAAAATTCATTGCAGAGAGTTCCTATGCGAACGTGAAGTAACCAAATCTTTAATTCACTTATATAACACTGGGTTAGTACCTATGGAATTGTATCTATAGAATATCAAAATAAAGATTTAATTATTTAAATTATTTTTATAGTGTCTATATCATACCGATTAGACCAAGTAGTGCTATTGGTCCGAGAATAATTATTATACCGCTTGTCAAGCAAGACCCGAAATTCATGAATTTGAATGAGATTTTCAAAATATTTTTTATGTTGTTGGAAGTTCTTGCCATGGAGGATGATAATGCAACTGTTGCTGGTATAGTCTTCATATTTGATATACGTGATATAACCATGGAACAGATGCGAAAATGTGATCGCGCTTTGCTAAAGAAGAATTGGTTATTTGGTGAACGTTGTATGCCTTTGAAATTGATTGAAATCCATTTAATACATATGCGTCGGGATACTTTTACGATTTATAATATAATGTCTAATTTTTTGTCTTGTAAGAAACATTTCAAAGTAAGTTTTTATCATGGCATTGTAAGGATAATATTTTTTTTTTGACAATATTAAAATTATTATAGGTTTTTATGCATAAAAAAGCTGAAGATATTTTTAGGTATTTGCCACGTGAAGCTTTGCCTATTGAATATGGTGGACAGAATGGATATCAGGCAGAGGCATTGGAATATTGGCGACACAAATTGTTACAATACACTGATTACTTCGCCAATGATGACAATTTTGGAACAATTGAGAAGAACAGAATTTGTTTAACTAAAAGATTTGAACATCGAGATTTTTGTGGCTTAAATGGTTCGTACAGGAAATTGCAAGTCGATTAAGATGACTTTATTAAAAATATTTGGAAATATATAAATTAATAAAGTATATAAAAAAATTATATTGAAATTATTCCCAATAATTACACATAAACTAAACGTGAAAATAATATTTATTATAAAATATTTAAAATAATTTATTCGTACAGAAATTATATATTAAATGCATTATATCATATAATAAATCTACAATATTAAAATGACAGCAGTTTTATTATTTTTTCGATTTTTAAAGTGCGTAAATATATCTGATTTAATGATTAGAACTGAATATTTTCAGTACTTTGGCTTATTTAATTCATATTTTATTCTGCAATTTTTCGGTCCATTACTTCATTAAAGTTAAGTGATAGTAATGCCTGAAAATTTAATACATTGACATATCTATACAAGAGGTCATAATTTTAGATTTGAAAATGAATCGACTTCAGCCCTTTTTAAAAAACTAAACTATTTTGGTTATGTGTTTGGTTAATACTTTATATTAGATATACTAGAGAGAAGATTTTACAAATGATTTAAAAGTGGTTTTGAACAGTAATGAACTACAACAACAATTTTTTTTTGATATTTTAATTAATTGAATTTTTGGCTAGCCATACAACTGTTTCAAGTATTGCCAAATACCCATCATCAGTAGCTTTGTGTCAGGTGCTTACTGAACACTGATTCTGAGCTTCAAATATGACAGGGTACGGGTTCAACCCTTGATATTTGCGGCTTCAAGTATTATTTACGAATAATTAAATATAAGAAATTGAATTCCATGACCACTAAAGATGAGTATTTGGCAATACTCGAAAGAGATGTATGGTCAGCCAAAAATTCATTAATTAAAATAATATAAAAGAATTGTTGTTGTTGTAGTCACTATTAATTAATATATAAAAAAAATGCTGTTGTTATAGTTCACTACTGTTCGAAATCTCTCCATAAAATACAATAGTTACGATTAAGTCAGAAATTAAATGATTTTATATTAATATCAACCTATTATAAAATTAAAAAATCGTTCTAATTATTAATACGTTATAATTTATTTCATAATTTTCACCAATATGATACAAAGAAAAATCGTAAAATATATATACATAAAGTTTATTTTATTTGAGCAATTTATTCAATTTAACAAACACGCTTTTGTAATTATGCTGGAGATTAGAAATTCAGATAAGATAATTCGGTTGTTAAGGATATACGGGTATCGTATATCACACGTTATTTATATATGACAGTGAAAACAAAATCATTACAAATGCCATATCTCTAATTGTTTAAACGGAGAAACAATTTAGTCGCAATTAGATTATTAAATTGAAAATAGTTAGCGAAAGGTTGCATTTTATTTGAGAAGTAAATATGCGACCACTCACACCAGCTTTGGCTAAAATAGCTAAGGAGCAACTAAATGAAATACCTGAACGTGTAGAACAGGACTTGTTCATATTAAGAGTTTGGATACGCCAGCAAATACATCTGAGAGCCCGTACTTCTGATGAGTTTTTGATTGCATTTCTCAGATGTTGCAGTTATAGTTTGGAAGAAACCAAAAAACGTATAGAACTTTTTTTCCATTTTTATAATGTGCTGCCACAGATTTTTTATAATCGTCTTGTAACGGATCGCATACTATACATGAACCGTTGTGGGTTAGTATTAGCAAAATAATATGAAATATGATAATAATGATATATGTTTTGTAAACTTATAGCATACATATCTATCCAGAATTTCCAAAATGTGACAACAATACTGCTTTG